AAAAAAAAAAAAAAAAAAAAAAAAAAAAAAAAAAAAAAAGAGTACAGTTGTGGTTAGCTGCTGATTGGTTCGTTGGTCGAGCAGATGTTGGCTCTGCTTCTGGTCTAGTTGCTTTTTGTGCTCCGTGCTTGGTTTTCTTTGCTTTTCTGTTTGAAATTGGTGTCTTGCTTGTTTTTTGCTAGCTTCTTGGGTTTTTTTCCAATGATGTGCCATCTGCTTGTGGTTTTGCTGCCATTTAATTTAGATCCTCCTTGATCTTTTCTTTAGTTCTCTTTGCTTTTGAATTGTACGGATCATGGTTGTTGGTGGTTTTGCCCTTCAAGTTGGGCTTTCCTTTTCTTCTGCTGGTTGTTCGAGTCGAGTAGAGACTGTGGTGAGATGGATGAGTAAGCATCTCTCTGCTGAGACTCGGAGTCCATCATGGTGGGCGGTGGGGTTTTGTAGGGAGTTGATGCAGATTGCTGGCGCAGTCTTCCCTGAATTGCGAGAATGTGGGAGGGTCGTGGGGTCCTAAACCCCTGCTGCGCGGGTGGTAGGTTAGTATTGAATTTCCTGCTGGTTTGGGAAGATGCCATTTGGAAGTAGTATACCTTGTCTTGACATTCGTCTCTCCGCAATTGGCTTTTTTTCTTCGCTAATATCATCTGAATCTATCTGTCAGTGATTCTTCTGAAATGGATTGGTGAGCATAGCTCCAACGGGACTTCATCATGGAGGGCAGGGAAGCGTCGTTAGGGAGTGGATGCAGAATGGGGCTGGCAGTGCAGTGGTTTTACCCTAAATCGCGACATGAGGGAGGGAGGTTGAGGTTTTTGCGCTGGGGGTCTTTGGCCCCTGCCGAGCGGGTGATAGGGTATGATTCCACTGGCTTGCAAAAATGCCATCATTGTGGGAGCTGGCATTTTTATTTTTTTTTATTTTTTTCCCCTTAACGGCAAGTGTGGGTAGAGGTGCAATCTGCCCTGAATAGTGAGAGGTGAGTGAGTTTTGCAGGGTCTGTGTATTCAACTGGGGGGCCGTGAATACAGATCCCTGCCCCGCGGGTGGCAGGGCAGTTCTGCAGGGTGCGGCGACAGTTTTGGATGCATTGGTTGCCTTTTTTGAGGTTTCGTTATGGTTTTTGGCACTTTTTGCACTTTGCCTGATTGGGGTTTCATACGTTTAGATTCCTCGTAGTCCCGTTGTGCGGCCCGGGAACGAACTGTATGACTCTGAAGGTAGACGGGACGGGAGTAGTCCGTTCCGCTGAAAAATGGCGACAAAATTGCGGTACCATTTTTTGACCCGTAGAACCCGGGAAAGGTCCTAGCTGCCCCCCCCCCCCTTTTTTTTTTTTTGGGGGGGGGGGGGGGGGGGGGGGGGGAAGGCAAGTAGCGTGCAGTCACAAACTTTAAGACAGTTTCAAAATGCATTTCAGGCATCCCTCAAACATTGCAACCCCCACCTGACCCTAAATCTAGCTTGCATACATTCAACATTTTTTTTATTTTTGTTTTTTTTCGAAAGGTCCACCTTCATTACTCATTAGAAAAAGAGCATTTTGCCTAGTAGAGTGCATAATTTTGAAACTCAGGGCCTAGTTGCACTACTCGCCATCCGTCATATTCCGTGGCGGATGCGTGGAGAGTGAAAAAACTGAGAATCGCGCCGAACTCGAGTCCTGGTTGCGCTTACTCGCCATTATATTTCTTCCACAGAGAAGTTAATTTTTTTTGTCTACCTGATGTCAACTCGTGAAGCCCTGCACTCTCCAGAAAGCTGTTTTGTGGAGAGGTCCGACGACCACTCTCCACAAACCGCCGTGCACAGGCGGGGAAACCGAATTCACTCTCCACAACTTGTGTCGACGATGTGGCGAGCCGTCTGACACATTTTGCATTCGTCAAGTTTGAAGAGTAAGTGCAACCAGGCACCTACTCGCCAAACTTGGCCTATGGAGAGTAGTGCAACTAGGCCCTCAAAGAGTGACTGCGCCCTAGTTTTCCCTTTTTTCTGAATCCTTTGGGGGATCCCTATTCAGACCTACCAACGCAGACAGCAGACCCAGACAACCAGATCCAGACCCAGACAACCAGATCCAGACCCATACAACCAGATCCAGACCCAGACAACCAGATCCAGACCCAGACAACCAGATCCAGACCCAGACAACCAGATCCAGTCCGTCTGGAGCTTGATCCTGACGTCCAGCTGGTTACCATGGTCAGAAACAGTAAAAAAAAAAAGAAAAGAAAAGAAAAAAAAAAGAACGAAACAGCGAAAAACAAACAACGGGAACAAAAACAAAAAAACGAGAGGGGAAAAAAAAACAAAAACAACAACAACAAAACAGCAAAAACAGAAAATAAAAAGACAGTTTGGTAAACAAGTATTGCTGCACCATTGCTGCTCCTTCCACAGGCTTCCAGTCTTCCAGCAAGTTTCCATAAACCACCATAGGGCCTCTCCACACCACTTGAGAAATGTGAAAAAGACAAAAATGTGGCGGGTGCATCTGGCCAAGCCCCACACCCAAAACCCTAAGACCCTAAAACATTAAACCCTAAACCCTAAACTGGGTCTCCTAAAAACTAGGAGGCCATGAACCGCCGATTCATTTTATCGAGCGTCCATGGACTCCGAATTTTTAGGAGAGCCTCAATCTTCTTTTTGGATGCAGTTAAGGTTTAAGCCCCACACCCAAAACCCTAAACCCTACGACCCAAAAAACCCTAAACCCTAAGACCCCAAAACCCTAAAACCCTAAACCCTAAACCCTAAGCCTAAGCCCTAAGCCCTAAACCCTAAGCCCTAAGCCCTAAACCCTAAATCCTAAACCCCAAACCCTAAGACCCTGAAACCCTGAAACCCTAAACCCTAACCCCTAAAACCCAAAATACCCTAAACCCCAAACCCTAAGACCCTGAAACCCTAAACCCTAAACCCTAAAACCCAAAATACCCTAAACCCTAAACCCTAAACTGGGTGGCCATGTGGGGGAGGGAATTTTGCCGCACTTTTAGCGACAGCCGTTGAGTAGGAGCTCTGACGAGGAAATGGCTAAACCCACTGGATGGCCAGTTCTGGCCACTGTCAATGTTCCATCGGCCATCCCAAAATAGCAGGACCCCACATTTAGTGCTTTGTGGGTCGTAGAAACACCAGAAATGATAACCGCAGCCTGCATCCAGAACAGACAAATAAAGACCAGAAAAGGGTGGAATGAGCGGGAAGGAAGAAAAAAACTCGGCAAATGCAGAAAGTAACCGAAAAGAAAGGGAAAAAAGAAGAGCAAGACAGAAAAGAGGCAAGGGAAACAAAAAGAAAAAGTGACCAGTCCGTTCGGCTGAAAAAGTGACCAGTCCGTTCGGCTGAAAAAGTGACCAGTCCGTTCGGCTGAATTTTATACACATTGTAACTCAGTCTTTTAATAACCAGGTCACAAGTTCGAGTCCTTGTGGAGAGATGGACACAATCATTGGAGCTTACGCAAACATCAGTCCGTCCGCGGCATCCTCCGACTAATAGGATTTTCTTTTTTTTTGTGGACGTATCTTACTGCAATTTCGTCCCAACCTGACTGCATCTGACGACAATCACGACTACAAATCAGATCAGAGTCCCCAACAAAGCCTTAAAAAAAAAAAACAAAAAAAAACAGCCTTATAGGCTTAAAGAAGTTAAAGTTTGTGTTAGTTTGCCCTTACTGTGCCAGTCATTAGCTCTCTGAGCTCATCGTTTCAGCCACAAGCTCGTCTAGCCTGCCGTTACCATTCCTTTTGCCACCGTTACCATTCCTTTGCCACCGTTTCCATTCCTTTGCCACTCAGTCTGTTTCCATGCCTTTGCCACCGTTACCATTCCTTTGCCACCGTTACCACTTCTTTGCAGTCTGAGTGGACAGCCAGAGGATCATTGTTGCCCTTCAGAAGAATCAGAACCTCTATTGTGTTTCAACTTGGATCTGCTGTTCATTTTGATTTTGCAAATAAAATTAATTTTTCGCCGTTGATCCGTTTAACAACTCGTACTAGTCAGTCATTCTGGTGCCGATTTGCGGGTGCTTTACCTCTCATTGCCTCCACAGAGCTAACTCATCCCGCGCTGTTTGAAAGGCTTCAGAAGAGAGAGAGAGAGAGAGAGAGAGAGAGAGAGAGAGAGAGAGAGAGAGAGAGAGAGAGAAACACACACACTCCTCTGTCTTCCAGGCAAGGCAAATGAAAGTTAATAATATTATGAGGAAAGAGAAAGGAAAAAGCGGAGATTTAAAGGTGGGAATTTGAAAGGTGTGTCAAATGGACTTGTGAGAAAACAATTGGGAAAAGTGGAAAAGGCGTGCACTTGACCCCAACCTGCTCTCCTTCATTTGCACTTGATGCAGCAACTCCGATTCCCTGACCAATGCTCCCCACGACAACGGTTCCGGAATCACTGACACCAAAAATTCGAAGGCCGCCACAATCAGTCCACCTTCAGAGCAGCTAGTAATTTAAATCAGTTTGAGATAGACTCCTCAAAGTTTCTGTGCGAAAAATGAGTATGACAGGTGTTAACGGTTAGGCAATAGTATTATTCAAGTCACAAATCACTCCGTTAGACTTCATTCCATGGAAGCAACTGCGCCTGTTGCTGTTTTTGTGAAAAAGAAGAAGACGAAGAAGAAGAAGAAGGAGAAGGATAGGAAGCATGTGTACCTGTTGCTCCCATCATAGAAGGCGGTAACAAAGGAATTGGGTCCAAGTGCTGCCACGTGGGTATGGGTCGAATATGCTGAGCTGGCGACGGCTTCCGTAAGCAGAATGCCTCCGCCCCGACCAGGTCCTAGAGAACCATCCCCTGAAACTTCTGCCTTGACTACCACTGCTCGCCACGGGTTACTGCACAAAAGCACATGACATTGTTTCACACATTATGAGGGAAGTTGGGGTCTTTTTTCGTTTTTTGTAAAAAAAAAAAAAAAAAAAAAAAAGGGCGACGGCCTTGAGATATCATCATTAAACGGTCCGGCCCAAAGTAATTCAGAATGCTTTTATTCTGGTGGTCTGATTGTATCTGGATTCGAACTTGGGTCTGTATTTGAACAGTTCATGGGTGTACCAACTGAGCTAGGCCCATTGGTATTTTTTCGTTTTCTGTTTTGCATGTTTGTTTGTTTGTTTGTTTGTTTGTTTGTTTGATTGATTGATTGATTAGAAAATGTCTGCTTTTTACTTTAGGGATAATTTGCAAAATACCCGCAGAAGTTCAGATATATGCACAATAGAGCGGAACGCCCCTCTGACAAAAGGAAGATTATGTAAAATACCCCCGGATTCGGTTGGACACCCCATCTTTGCAAAATACCCCTGCCAAGTACCATCCAACTTTGCAAAATGCCCCGGTACTTGCCAACTTTTCGATGCCCGATTGCAAAAGGCAAAGGACCAAATGGCGAGGTCCAGATTGCAAATTTGCACACTGCCCTGACAGGGGCATAGTAGCACAAAGATTTTGGTCCAAAAGGGCATTCCGTTGTACCCACACCTTTCAAGGGCATTTTGGCATATATCTCAACTTATAACGGTATTTTGCAAGTTATTCCTTCATTTTATTTTATTTTTATTTATTTATTGTGTTATTCATTTTATATTTTTAGTTTTTTAAGTCCAGGTTGTTGTAGTGGTGTGAACGCAGACTATGACAGTCACCTTCTGTAGTCGGCCATTAGGTTATCCCGATGGTCTACGGAGGGCCCCATTCCTATCTTTTTTTTTTCACAAACAAAGCCCCTTTATGCAAGGCCTCTATCCTGGTGGTGGTCAAAGCACCACCGGAATTGCCAGTCGGGCTGCTCCATCTATTGGTGGGGAGCATCACCTGCTGGAAACTGGGTCCAGCTTCACTTAGATACATCATCTCATGACAACCTTTGTTGGGACTGTGGCCTGGGCCCCATTCCTTATGAGACTCCCTCCTCAATGTCTACCGCCCACTGACAGGATTGTCAGCCTCTGTCATCTCAACGGAGGTGACCCGGACGAACAGTGCTTGTAGGCACCAGGGCTAAGCAGTACCTATGCAGCTCAGTCCTGATTAAAGCACGGTGGGACGAGCCTTGTCGTATAGGATCTTGGAGCGCTAGGCATGAACATGCTTCTACATGCCCCATAGGTGGACCCATTCCTATCCCTCCCCTCACCCCCGAGTTGTTGTATTGTTAGTTCTATGTACCACTGTAATTGTGACCCAGAGGTTCTAGCCTATTATCAGTATATGCACGGCCACCATCCGCCCTTCTACCTATAGGCATTCCCCTAGTCTAGACCCCTGTGACGCCCCAACGTCACGCCCAGCGCGACTTCCTGATCGCTGTGATCGGAGTGGGAGTGGGCCTGGAAGTGCGCCTGGAAGTGCGCCAAAAAGGGGTGTGCCAAGGATTTTAGGAAGATGGGGGGGGGTTGGAGTCCCAGGTCAGAACTGAGATCTCCTGTGTCAAGCTTCAGGGATATGAATCGCAAGTGGGCGGACGAACGAGGTTCCGTTTTAGGCCTCGGGAAACATGGCGATCACCTTCGTTGGTCCCGTCGTCTGGGGCGGATTCGTATTCGATGTACCATAGGGACGCTATGGCTGTCCCGTTGGTGCAGCAACCATCGTCGGTGGGTTTCACAGGTTTCAGAATTGGACGCGGCCCGCCTCAGCCGAAGGCTGTGCTCCCGTCGTTCGGCTTCCGAGCGGGTTCGCCAGACGAATCCCGATGCTCGGTAGGCGTGGTCTTGCAGACACTCGGAGCACTGGGGTTGTGGCCAGTAGGGGGCGAGTACTCGCCAAGGGGCAATGGTCAGGTAGTGGAAAGGCAATATATGGTGATAGGGAGGAAACTTTGTTTCAAGGATAGCTATGTCAGGTTCAATGATGATTTGACACGTGTACGGGCTGGGACAGTCGAGGTAGTGGTGAGTACGTTCTAGGGCCCGTCTAATATCCCACTCGCAGAGGCGTTCGGTTCCCGTGTCATACGAAAATTCCAGGAACTCATTCCTCGATTGTGAAGAAAGGCATGTGCGTTCCCAGTATTCCCGGAACTCGCGATCCCTTAGGCACTTACGGTCGGTGATCCAGAAGGGAATTTCGACACTCATACTGTGGGGTTGGGGTAGGAATCCATACGATCGAAGTGCTCGTTCGTCGACCAGATCGAGGGCAGGTTCTGTAGGCGCGCGTGTACACAGTGGCCTTCAACGTCAAGCGTACACGTGCGTGCACACGATCTTCTTTCGATCTGGCTGGGACTCTTCACAACTTTCGGCATAGGTGCATCGGCTTGTCGGATCGCCCAGAGGCATTGCTGGTGGGCTCAGTGTGAAGCAAGCATCTAATCAACCGACATGCTCATCTATATATCCAACATTGTAGAAAAGACAAGAAAGCAACAAGCATTCATGCATCAAAACATCCAATTGGCCAGAGAACATACACAGATCGAGTGTGGATAATCAATCCATCAGGTGGGCAACTAAGTAGAACTTCAAGAAGGATGGGGCGGGAAGAGGACAAACTTAATCATCCATTAATATGCAGCAAAAACAAGGTCGAAGACAAAGCACCACTTCAACACCTACTATTCTCTCTCTCTCTCTCTCTCTCTCTCTTTCTCTCTCTCTCTCTCTCTCTCTCTCTCTCTCTCTCTCTCTCTCTCTCTCTCTCTCTCTCTCTCTC